AACTGGCTTTTTTCTTTAGAGAAAACAAAAAAGAAGATACACCAATCCAGAATGTATGGGATACAATGAAGGCATATGCCAGAGGCTTGATAATAGACTGTACAAGGAAAAGAAATACCATGAAAAGATTAGCCTCTAAGGCATTAGAAGATAAGTATAAAGGACTTGAAAAAGAGCTACAGGAAATGCCACAGAAATTATATACACAAGAGAAACTATACACACAAGAGAATATTGATGAGGAAAGAGTCAAACAGTACCTACAGAATGCTAAGTTACCCCAGATACCTAAAGAGATTGACACAATGTTAGAAAGCAATATAACAATGATGGAGTTAACTGAAGCACTCAAGAAGCAAAATAATGGAAAGGCACCAGCCCCAGATGGACTTCCGGCAGAATTTTACAAAACATTACAAGAATCATTGAATCTTCCATTGCTAGAAGTTATGAATGAAGTTATGTTAAAGGATACCTAAATCATGATCAGAAGCTTATATCACACTTGTTCCAAAAGAGGAGACCAATCCATTACAAATTAAGAACTATAGACCTATTTCCCTACTAAACGCAGATTATAAAATTTTTGCTTCAATATTGGCAGAAAGACTTAAAAATATTTAAATAATTTTATCCATCCTGATCAAAATGGATTTCTGCCAAAGAGACAAATTAAGAACAATATGAGAGTAATCTTGGACACTTTGGAATATTACGAGGCACATCCTGAAAAACAAATGGCTCTGACATTTCTAGATGCACAGAAGGCATTTGATAATGTGAATTGGCGATTCATGTTATTACTGCTGGAATAGATGGGCTTTGCTAGAAAATTTATTCAAGCAATAGAAGCTATATATCATAAGCAAACGGCAAAGGTAATGATAGAGGGAGAACTGACAGACTTTATCGATATAAGAAAAGGAACACGACAAGGGTGCCCACTATCACCTCTGTTGTTTGTGTTAACTTTGGAAGGGCTAAATAGAAATATTAGAGATGAAAGGAATATAAAAGGGATGAAAATTAAAAGGAAGAATTTAAGTTGCAAGCATTTGCAGATAATCTGGTTTTCATCTTAGAAGACCCACTAGAAACAGCATCAAAATTGATAGAAAAGATAGAGACATATGGAAAGGTGGCTGGTTTGAAAATAAATAAAGATAAGACAAAGATCTTGACAAAGAATAAGCTATCAAGACAAAAGGAAGAACTGGCAGACCTATTGAAAATTCAGGTCACAAATAAGATCAAGTACTTGGGGATATACTTGACAGCAAGATGCAGTACACTAAAAGAGAATAATTATATCAAACTTAAGCAGCAAATAGCACTAGATTTGGCAAAATGGGAAAATCTACAACTGTCATTAATAGGGAGAATATTAACAATCAAGATGAATATATTACCCAGAATTTTATATTTGTTTCAAACAATTCCAATTAGGCTTGGAAAAGACTACTTTGAAGATTTAAATAAAATTGTGTTGAAATATATATGGCAAGGTAATAAAATGAGAATAAAGTTAAAACTTTTGCAAGATGCTAGAATAAGAGGAGGATTTGGGTTGCCTAATTGGGAGTTGTATTACCAAGCTACAAATTTGATGTGGGTTAAGGAATGGATAACATTAAGAAATACTAGATTGTTGACATTAGAAGGACATGATCTGTTGTTGGGGTGGCATGCTTTTTTATGGTACAAAGGAACTAAAACACAGGGGTATTTTAGAAGACATTATATATGGGAGTCTCTGTGGTTAAACTGGGAGAAGATTAAAAGACAATGTTATTTGAAAATTCCAGTCTGGCTATCGACTATTGAAGCATTTTCTTATCCTATAATATACAAAAAGGACCAAACAGTTAGATATGGTGAAATATTGAATGAAAAGGGTGAACTTAAATCTATACAAAAACTAGAGGAACAAGGTATAAAGATGAATTGGTTTTCATATGCACAAATACATTCAAGGTATGATAAAGATTCTAAAACAGAAGGTTTCTATGATGAACTGACTGACTTAGATAAGATTTTGACAGGTACTGATGAAAAGGTGATTAAAAAATTGTATGGATATTTATTCGAAATTAAACTAGAAGAAGAACAAGTTAAAGAAACTACGATTGCTTGGGGGAAGAATTTTGGATATGGGATTGATTTAGAGAAATGGCAAAAATTGTGGTCTCAAAATTATAAAATGACAATGTCAACAGCATATAAAGAAAATTTGTATAAGATGTTTTACAGGTGGCATTTCCCCCTGACAAGAATAGCAAGAATGTTCAAGAATAAATCCGAAAAATGTTGGAAATGTCATCAGACACCTGGCTCATATTACCATATGTGGTGGACATGTGCGGATGCTAAAAAATACTGGACTAAAATCCACACATGGTTGGAAAAAAATGACAAAAAAACAAATAGATTTGAAACCAGAGATATTTTTATTGGGAATTTTACCTGAAATATATAGTAAAGACTTGAAATACCTGATTGTCAATGTATTAACAGCAGCTAGGATTGTATTTGCTAAAAACTGGAAAAATGAGAAAACACCATCACAGGAGGAAATCATTAAGAAAATATTGGAATGTGCTGAAATGAGTAGATTGACATTTGAAATTAGAGAACAAGATGATAAACAATTTTATAAAATTTGGGATCTATTCTATCAATGGTTAGACAATAAAATATAGTAATGAAATATGTAGACTTTTAGAAAATAATAAATATATAAAGATGTATTTTTTTCTTATTATATCTACAAAATGATTCTAGGATAGATTTGGGATGATAATATGAACTGTCATAAAACAAATTAAGTAAAATATGATTATTTCGTAAAACACGAATGAATAAAAGTATAGTCAAATGATTAATAATGATATTAATGTATTTAATATTTGATTGAAAATACGAGATTATATACAATGTAATTGTAATTGAAGACTACGAAATGGAAGCACAAAAAACAATTTGTAAACCAATTGGCACACTATGTATATATATATATGGAAGATGGCTTGATGTTTTTATGTTTTGTTTGTTTATATTTGTTTTAAAAACCAATAAAAAAATTTTTTAAAAAAGGAAGGGCCAGGGATGACATGATAGCAGTGTTCCAATATCTAAGGGGCTGCCACAAAGAGGAGGGAGTCAAGCTATTCTCCAAAGCACCTGAAGGTAGGACAAGAAGCAATGAGTGGAAACTAATAAAGGAGAGAAGCAACCTAGAACTAAAGAGAAATTTTCTGACAGTTAGAACAATTAATCAGTGGAACAACTTGCCTCCAGAAGTTGTGGGTACTCCATCACTAGAGATTTTAAAGAAGAGATTGGACAGCCACTTGTCTGAACAGTATAGGATCTCCTGATTGAGCAGGCATTTGGACTAGAAGACCTACAAGGTTCCTTCCAACTCTGTTCTTCTGGTTTTTAAATCTATAACCAGTCCATCTTATGAAGCCTAAGTCGATTTCACCCCATCCAAACTCAGTCCTCCAGTCACTGGGATACCAGCACTTTGATCACATTTTGTTTCCTGGAGTGCAGCTGACGGGAAGGGCCAATCTCTGCAACATTTTACACCAGAATACAGGTTGTCAAGGCAAAGGGGCTGTTTGTTGACATCTCAAGGCAAAGCTGTGATCACATAATGCTGTTGATGAGCCCCCTAACTGCAGCCAAAGCAAAGCGACATTGCTGTCATCTCCAACTCACGAGTTGGGATTAAATCATCCTTAACTCTACAACGTTACTGAGACCGTTCAAGGACAGCCTCAAGGTAAGCACCATCCGTTAGCTTTTATGTTTTATGATCTTACAGAGCATTCCAGTGTAGGTAGTGGCTTGAAACCGAGGCAGTAAAGTCAGGAAGAAGGGCGGGAGGATTGGCACATTTCTTGCCCGTGGAGTTTTCTTGCGGATTCAAGAATTGGGGGAGGGGGGGGGACACGATTCCCAAGTGAGCCGTTTGGCAAGGCCCACAACTTAACAAAGTCCCGTTCGATTCAATCGCTATTCGCTCTGCCTGCATCTTCCCAAGACTACGCTCGCCAGCGGCGGGCGACGGTCCAGCTCCCCACTGCTCAACTTTTGGCCCAGGGTCCGAGCGGTGTGTGTGTGTGTGTGTGTGTGTGTGGTCTCTGTGTGTGGTCTCTCTCTCTCTCTCTCTCTCTCTCTCTCTGTGTGTGTGTGTGTGTGTGTGTGTGTGTGTGTACGCGTGGATATACAAGCGTGGACAACTTTTGATGGAGACCAGTTGGTGCTGTGCCGTCGACGAGGGAGGCTGGTGGCAACCTCGTCGAAATGGTTCTCCATGTCGTTTCGCTCGAGCACGAGCCTTGAAAGGGCATTTCTGCCGGAGATGCCCGGCTGGGTCGAATGGCGACGGCGGCTGCGGCTGCGGCTGCGGCGGCAGAAGTTTTTGCCTCAGCCGCGGCCAAAGAAGCGGAGGCGCGGGACGGACGCGAAGGACGCAGCCCCGCCACTGCAGGCTGGTGGAATCCGTGGGATGGGAGGGGGCGCGCTCCCCTCAGCTCCCTGTGGCAGCCGCTGCCTGCGATCCTCCCTCCCTCCTTTCCTCCCTCCCTCCCTCCCGCCTCGGTCCCTCCCTCCTTTCTTCCCTGCCCGCCCGAGAATGTGTGTGGCCGCTCTCGGATTTCCCCTCATTTGCTCGAGCTTCTGTCAGCAGCCAGTGCCGCAAAGAGCTGGTTAGGGCTGCTCCGGCAGCGAGCTCCAGCTCGGCGGGGGCCAGACTGGGCTCCTGCCCCAGCAGAGGCTCTCTCCGCTTCGTCTTCCCCACCGGGCACTTGGGCGCGCCGTTTCCCTCGAGCCTGCCTGTCGTTTGCCTCCGTCGGGTGTCCCCCCGCGCTTCGTCGTCGTCGTCGGCGCTTTGTTCTTAAACCCAGCCCCGCGCTCGCCGCCTTTCCTCGCGGCTCTCCTCCGCCCGGTGTCTTCTTTGGGTCCGCCGGGGACTTTTGCCTTGTTATGTCAAGATGGAAGGCAGGAGCGAGTGGCTCGCCTCCTCGACCCGCCCTGAGGGCTTCGAGCAGATGAGGCTGAAGAGCAGACCCCGGGAACCCTCGCCCAGCCTGACCCGAGTGGGCTCCAACTTCTACAGCGCCGTCAAGCAGCAGGACTACAGTGCCAGCGTCTGGCTGAGAAGGAAAGACAAATTGGAGCATGTAAGCCACTTTTGTTGCTCTCTCCTGAAACGCTTGGCTGGTTGCCGTTCCCTTTAAATCCTTCTTTCGATAAGCCCGCCAAGCGGGTTAATCGACCCATTTTACAGGTGCGAAAGCTGAGCCGGAGCGGAAACTTCTTGACGACTGGCAGCGTTTTGGGCTGAGGGAGAATTCGCACCCAGGACTCACAGACGTGCTCGTGAAGTCAGGATGAGAGTAGCTTTACTTCGACATGGCACAAGACCAACTTGGTATCAACACTACCCCTCAACCTAGGTTGTCCCTACTTAAACCTACCTCCCCAAAATACCAAAAGTGGAGTAAAAAAACCATAGTATTTGGGGGTAGTATTTAAATAACAATCCCATGTATGCTGATTTGGGAGCATGTCCCACATGGATTTACTTCCGAATAAACATATATAGGATTGCATGTGATGTAATATACTTTACCCAGTATGATGCCCAAATAGGTCATTGTTCAGTCCCTGCAGAAGTGCAAATAGCTTTCTGTTTTCATATTATATGCTTCATTTCTCTCTTTCTTTTTTTTTAAACCACTATCTGCTGCAAACCAGTTTTCACATCTATGTCCCTTGAAGGCATCTAATTGCTGAGAGGTTATGGAAACTCTGGAATGTTGTAGAACGCTTCTCCAACTGAATGCATCCTGCAGTGTTATGATGATTTAGATGTAGCTGATTTTTGATTTGCATCCTTTATTTTTTATTTAGATGTATAGACTTGCTGTATTCCAGGTATATTTTTTTCTAGATATATTTCTTACATGGCTATGTAAGGTTGTGCAAAGTAGATTTGATTGCGATGTCAATTCCTGGAGGTATAATGTTAACTAAGGGGTTTTTGGACCAGGAAACAATGGAAGCTATGACTGGCTGCAGTGAATATTTAATGTTGGGTTTAAGGTCCTTGGAAATATTCCTGCAGTTCAGAGGTTTTAGAGCAATGGTCTGTCATGTTATTGTGTAGTTTATGGCATTAATGAGTTGTATGAATAATGGAACAGCATATTTTGATTTTGATATTTGGTTAAGTATGTACTTGTAGAAAGAAAGGGAGTTTAACTCTAAGGCGAAGTTTGTTGCATGTATGTTATGAAGTAAGGAAATGGTTAAGTTTTATAATGCAGCAGGCTTGCTTAAGGGGATGTTGTGTGCTGCTTAAAATAAGGTGAAATAGAGAGCCCCTGTGTTCCTTATATGTAATAAATGAACAATAAAGTGCTGCTAATGCAAGTTAGTTCCTTGAAAAAAACCACTAGCAAAATATACTGACTTTTGTATATAGCTACAGTACATGAACTAGTGCCAAGTGATGTAATCCAAAATACAGGCAAAGGTGCAGTAACTGGAATGGTGAAAGCCTTGCATTCCGGCAATATTATATACCGCTATTTATTTAAGAAAGGAATGTGAAAAAAATAAACATCAGTAAATTACAATAGGTATCCATGCCCAAATATGGATTGTATTTTAGTTATTTATATCACAGCAGAATGATCAACAGTGGGAAGTGAAACTCTTGAAATATCCTCAGCAGCCTTATAGCAATTTGTATATATCTTGATTCAGTAATGGTTCTAGATAGGGCATTAAAACAAAACTACTGACTTTGCTTCAGTACATTTAAGTTTGGATAATACATCAGTTACTTTTTGTTATGCACCAGTGTTTTAACTAAATGTAGCATATTTACTAACCCTAACAATAAAAAAGAACTAGGTAATTCTGTCTGCATAATGGTCATGGCCATTTGAGTTCAGTGATAACACCATTTGTTTATTTATTTGGTGGAGTATATTCTACATATCTATATTTCTGGAATGGGAAAAATAGGTAAGCATAGATCTAGAGGATTTAGATAATCTCTCACAAAGAATGTACAAACCTTCCTGTAAGTTGTTTCACGACATGCAATAAGTTTTGGAGTGTATAACTGATGCATATGTAACTGACAATCTGCTATTAGCATAGGCAACTTTGTATATTCCAAGTATTTTGGACTACAAATTCCTCAAATTCTTGTCATTTGCCAGAGTGGATGTGTTATTAGGAACTGAAATAAAGAAAAAAGGACTGCATTAAGTCATCTACTCCTACTTTATAGCAACTTTTTGTTTTATTTATATTTAAAACATTTTAAACATTCCAGTGTTTAAACATTTCAAAATAGTGCAACTTTTTTTAAAAAATAACCTGAACATACACACAATGAATATGCAAACTACCTAGTAATAAATACATTGTAATATAATTCATTTTTTAAGAAATTCATGTGAAATGTAGGTAGTAACTGATGGCAGTAGGAGTGGTGGTCCAGCATGAAATCCACTTAAAAGGTTTATTGTTAAGTTTAGATTGGGCAGTCTGATTTGGAATTAAAGCCATTTCTGTATGTGAGTTATCTGCCTTCCTCCTGTTGGATGAATTCAGGAACCAAGCTGAGCGCACTTCATCAGCTATTGTACTCATTAAACAGTGGTAGCAGGAAAAACAATATTAGATAAATAGAATAACTTTGATAGGAGGGACATGATAGTCTGCATTGTTTGCAACATCAGCATTGATATTTATTCCTTGACTTACTACTTACTTCTTTAAAAAAATTCCTTGGAACAAAATACATCCTATTTGATCATATGGCTGATTTCCCTCCTTTTCCCTGTGCTTAGAGGAGAGGGAAAATCTTGGAGGGGATTCAGGCCACATTATTCTTCAGTTTTAGCAACCACCTACTAGCCATTCACTTAGATAATGCTAGCCATAGAACATGCTGAATTTGAAGGACTTTAACGTTTTTTTAATGGCAATCATTTTAATTTAACTGCAGTTTGCATTGAGCATCAGTTTTTCCTTATTAATATTAACAAGCCAGAGACATACACAGGATGGGAGTCATGCAGCATATAAATTTAATACATAAAATAAATAAATCCAATCTTTGCCTCAAAATGATGAAAGCAACATTATGCCATCTTGATATATGTTCCATCCATTTCATATGTGCACGTGACATCACAACGCAAGCACATAGAGTATATTTTATATTGCAATGGCACAATGATGCTTACATCATTTGCTGTCCATGTAATTGCCTTCGTAAATACCGTTTTTCTCCAACAATATGGCCTCCCCCAATAGGAAGTCCCAGCATGTTTTATAGGCATAAAATCAAATTAAGCCCCTCCCCCCCAATTAAGGTCTATATTAAACATGCGAAATGGGGGGGAATGGCAGGGGGAGGCTTGCCATTAGGAAGTACAGGGAGAAGGGAAAGCAATGGTGGCGGAAGGTCTCCCTATACAAAGTGCCCCACCAATGCCAAGGTCAACATCCAAGCCGTCACTGCCCGCCCGCCCGAGGATGCAAGGGGGGGAATTAAGTCACCCCCAAAAAGACGGCCTAGCCATTTTTTCGGGGTCCCCCCCCAAAAAAAGGTCCGGCCTTATTTTGTGAGAAACACGGTATCTATGACTATAGAAATAAAGACAGTCTAAGCTTGTGCCATCATTGTATAGGATTTTTTTATATACAATTCTTGTAATGGAGAAGCAAAGAATTACTATAATATAGTTTCTGTGCCATAAAACTAGCATCCCCATGTTTTTAGTTCTTGGGTTAATTGGTATGGCTGTATGGACTGAGGGGTCCTTGGTACTCTCTGAGCTTGCTTCTTTTCTTGTAGACGTTTGATTACCCAAACTAGGTAACATCATCAGTATCAACATCATAGCCTAGCAAGCAAACAAGCTCAGAGAGCACCTCATGTCAACCCTGAGTTACAGATATTCTCCTTTATTGGTATGGGAATTCCCCAGCATTCCCAGCTAGTGTAGGTATTGTTAAGAATTCTGGATATTGGAAATCCATAAATCTGGAAGTTGCCTAAGATGGAAACTTTGGCTTTGAATAAAATGAAGCAGAAAATGAACGTAACAACTTCTAAGCTAACCTTATGTGTCTTTCTTTCTCCATACTTCATCTCTCTGGGACTTCTAAAAATTTTTGTGCCCCTCTTCATGTGACTGTGGTTAGGTTGGTATTAATAATGAAAATACAATCTAAATATCAATTGAAACAGGGATAGACCCTTGTGACTTTACAAATTAACATCATTTCATTGAAAGTAAACAAAACAAACAAATTTGAAGCCACGTTTTAATGAGAAATATGAGCTTTTTACCCTGGATTTTCAGCCCGTACACAGACCAGTGTTCTTGGAGTTACAGAGTTATCATATTTTCAAGTTAAAACATGTTTTAATAGATGTTTTAAAATTAGTTCTGTTATCAGTCATTTTTGAGACAAAAGAGAAATAGCAGCAACTCTGAATCCAGTGTTTATTTTTTAATAGGTGAGGACATCTTTTTATGCTTTTTTCATCCTTCCCTTGTGTACGGTTATTTTACTCCCCAAATCAAAAAAAAGAATACTGTAAAAAGAGACGATTCCTTTAGTTGGGCTGCTGTGTGCAACAGAGATTGTCTTTTGCTTTAAATCAGGTCTCTTAGAACTTACTATAGGTTTTTTCCTAACCATGGCTGGAAGATGCCCCATAGTTTTATAGGTAATGTCTTTAAGATGCCGCTTTCATCTGATCCCCAGCTCATACTGTACTTTTTTTCCCTCTCTTGTATCAAAGGGATAAGTATCAAATCAGATCGTCACAGCATTGTATAGCAGCCATATGCCATCAAGGCATTATTATTTTGCCTTGTAAGCATATACAAGTATTGGGTTCGACCACAATAACAACAACTATGAGAAGAACAATAACATTTCAGCTTCATATAAGACTTGGAAAACTTTGCTTTCCAGAGAAGCATTATTTTATCCAGATTTAGCAAACTTACTTTGTAGAAAAAAAATATCTCACATAAATTTCCCAAGAATTTATTGAAGCTCAGATTGTTAATTATGTTACTGGAGTCAGTAGAAGCAGCGTAAAGTGATGAGGATGTAATCTTTCTATAGATAATTA